TTCCCGGCGCTGTTCCCTGTGCTGGCTCTGGTGCTGTCCCTGGTGCCGTCCACGGCGCCGTCGTATTTACACTCATCAGTGAATATGGTCTCGCCGGCCGCAGACCTTCTCTCCAGCTCGGAGAGAATCTTGCTTCTACTGACCATACGCTCCGTGATGACGTTCAGGGCATTCATGTGAGATAAGAGCCGATGATTCTCTCGGTAGACGTGACTCGCTCTGTCTGTCAAATCCTCCTGAAGAATACCAAGGGCATTTAATTGAGATTCAAATCGTCGTATCTGTCGGGAGAGCTCCTTCTTGTCTTCCTCGTCTTTTAGTTTTTTTGCGTCGAGGGATGGCGTTGTTGATGATGATGAGGATGCTCTTCGCTGTGACAGTGTAGGTTGGAACGCTGATGTGAAGCTCGCGGATGCGGCTGTCATTGGTATGATTTTCGGCCACGGACACTGGTGCGAGAGGGAGAAGAGCGGTTTCGGTCGCGATGTGCGCGGGGGACCGTCGCGGAGGCTGTAGCGGATGTACCTGTCGATGTCTGGGTGTACGACTTTGGCGCGGAGGGTAGATGCGTTTGAGAAGAGGCGGGTTTGTGGTGGTGCTGTGGGTGTTGTTGGGAAGGGTGATGGTCTTGTGATTATTCCGGGGAGTGGCCTCCGGAGAGTGTGGAGGAGGGTTTGGGATGCCATTTGTTCTGGTTTGGTATGAGATGGTGATTTTTGGTTTTGTCTTGTTCGAGTTGTAAATGAAGTTGTCGAGGGTGATGTCTGATATGTTACTTGCGCGGCCAAAGTTTTGTGGTCAGGAGGATGGTGAAGTATGTGACGGAGAGGGTATGAGCCCGAGGCTGATGAGATGGTCGTCAAGGTTTTTGGTATACCTTGATATCACCAGAGCCATCCCTTTAGTGTGACTCAATTTTGCCGCCGTTTACATGTCTACCGTATTGAGTTGCGAAACCTTGTATCGCAAACTGTGTGGATATGATCTTGCGATGTTTCTAGTTCTGTGTGAACGAGTGTTGTTCCGTGGCTCCCATGAAGTCTCGCAATGGTATATGAGGTTTCGATCCATCTATACATGGAAGGGCGATGAAGGTAAGTCAAGGACCTTGTCAACCCTACCAAAGATAGGGGTGTTGTGGAAATGTGTGATAAGGCGGTGGGAGCGGAAGCTGGACGCAACGACCCATCTCCGAATCATCTTGTCTGCTGGTTTAGAAGGGACCTTACGCCTTGAACTGAACTCGCAGTTTATATCGTGTGAGTTATGTTACTGAAGATATCAATTCCAAGCTACACCGATATCTTAACAGCCAATACCTTCAAAGTTCAAAAACATGTTCAGCACTATCCTCCAAGCAACACCGCGGCTTTACAGTCACTTGGCTACCAGCAGAATGATCTTGCCTGAAGTTCAGTCTCGATCCAGAACCGCAAGAAGTGTAGGACCACACAATCTTCGCCTCATCAACGTCACCCAGATACTCTCAAACCCTATCACATCAGCGCAAGAGATCCTTGAGTCCTCCATAAACTGCAACCAAAGCAGATACGGCAGCCCCCACCAAGACAACCCATTCCAAGGCTTCATACGGGGTCCAAGGAAGACCAAGGGGGTTTACAGATACGAAGCGCCCAATAGAAAACAACAAGTGACATCTCCGACCACATCCAAGTCATACCTATCATCCTTCGGCACTTTCAGGGGTCTCTTCACGCATGTCGTTGAGATTCTGGACAACCCGAGAGAATGCGCAATCAACCGGTGGACAGATCGGGAGGGGGAAATTGGAAGGCTGCCGGAAAACCAGGGCGATATCGTGAAACGGCTTCAGGCTGTGGAAAGGCGTCAGGAACTTCACTCTTATATGGTATACTGCGTTGTGAGTGGGGTTGTGCTCGCGACTGCTCTTTCGATTCTTGTGGCGTTTGCTGCCAGCGAGATCAGAGACAAGGGAAGCAGGATAAAGAGTGATGATGGACCTGAGCAAGAGGCGGAGAAGCTTTCTACCAGGCATTGATATGGTAATGCAATAAGATCATCCGAATGCACCTGAGAGATGACTTGGACTCCCGTCGTGCAAACTGATGGTTGAAGGGGTTACGGATTAAGCATGCAGCAACACTGGCATGTAGAATAGATACCCTCCAATATCATCAAGGGGCTATCAACTGCCGTTATCTCTTCAACTGCGAGGCATTGCAGAGATTCTAATAACAAGTAGAAAAGATGTGGCCAGACGTCTAGTGCTTACACCAACGTTACATTGTACGCTGAACCACGTACATGCACCTGCCAACCTGCAGGTCATGTGGCTGTGCCACATCCATACTTGATTGAAGTAGACATAGGCAGCCTCATTGCCGAACTCTTAATCGTTCCTTCACTTCACTGTTTAGCATACGTGGCTCTTACGCTTCTTCGGTCTAAACCATACACCAGCCGTCCTAACCTCTTCTTCTCTTTCGCACCGTCTTGAAACTATGACTGCGTCACCGGCCGACTACCAGTACCAGGCTCTTTCAACGATCGACTCTATACGTCTCCTCAGCATCTCGCGAGACGACCATCATCCCCACGGACTCTGCCTCTCGCTCAAAGAGGTCAGTCTGGATGATGAACCGGTCTTTGCCGCCCTGTCTTATACTTGGCAGCTACCCAAGTATAGCAACTCTGAGCAGACACAAGAACCCGGGCCGGGGAAGTCATTTGATGTTGTGTGCGACGGCAGGTCGATGGAGATATCCGAGAACTTATTCGATTTCCTCCGCACCATTCTCGAATATCGGTGTCTACCGAGAAAGACAGAAAAAGCTTCCTCAACGGCTCCCAGGTGCCCGCCCAAAGTCAGAACTGCTCTGGAAACCATGCCACTGTGGATAGACGCATTCTGCATCGACCAGACCAATAACGAGGAGAAGAAGCACCAAGTCCTTCTCATGCACCGCATTTACAGCTCGGCACAGAACGTGCTGGTGTGGCTTGGACTATCAGAGCCTGAGTCTGAGGTTCAGTGGATTCACGACAGGTTCATTCCTCGTCTGTCTCAGGCACGGAAAAAATCAGAATCCATAAAGAATCTCTTGCAGGAGGACCATTACTGCAGGACGCCTGAAGTCATTGATCAATTGGGATATGACACATGTTCCCGGTGGGCTACATCGTGGTTCATATTTGCAAAGTTCCTCAGAGAGAACCGCTGGTTCGATCGCGGTTGGGTCGTCCAAGAGGTTGCTTTGGCAGATCCAGCCCAAATCCACATCATGTGTGGAACAGCTGTCTTGAACTGGAAGCGCCTCGGGGCATTTATACAATTTCTTCACGAGGCTCGATGGAGCCACTCATTGGAAACACATATCGAACGGTCTTTCGAACATGTGAAACTATTCTCCGAGATCCAATCCCTAAAAAAGCCACGGAGTCTTAGCAGTAGGCATCTTGGCATCGGAGGTGGCCTACATAAGATCAACGGAGTCCGCCCACTCTTGGCCGAGCTTGTGTACTACACGAAAATCGGAGGCTGGAACGCGAGATCGGAGTCCGCATGGCTCGCATGTGCCAGCTTCATCATATCTACTCTCCGCTCTTTCCAATTTGGAGACGATCGCGATCATATCCACGGGTGTTTGGGTATGCTGTCGATGCTTCTCCCTCAAGGTTTTCCCAGCCCCATTGTTCCTGACTACGACCGAAGTGTGGAGGACGTCTTCACATCTGTTGCAGCCTGCTTTCTCCAACGGCTTCCCTTACTCTCGGAACTCAGACAGGTGGGCAAGGAGAAATCACGCCGGAACACTAAATTACCATCCTGGGTACCAGATTATTCAGTACCAAACTTGACGAAAATAGATCGCCATAAGCGATTCGACGTATCGACTAAGACTGAGGCAAGCCTCGATGTTTTAGAGGAGCACGAGAGAATGATATGGCCTTGTCAACTTAGGAGGCCATCCGTCATCGGACACAAGCTTACTTTGTATGGTGTGAGTATGGGCACTACGATGGGTAAAGTTCACGACCTCTTCACTCCAGAGTCTAGCTATGAGATGGCCTTGACGATGATCAGCTTCTTTCGGACTAGGCCATTCGAAGCCCTCTGTCGCCCTCAACTGAACATATGGGATAGGTTGGCAGCAGCAGTTCTCAACGAATGCTTGGAATTATACAACTTACACTTGCAGCCTATTACGCCTGGTCACTGTCTCACGTCTCGAACAGTCAACTATTACGTCCCGGGACGGCGAGAATTTGTACACAAACGACTCAACGGGTCCAAGGTGGGAGTTTTAATCCAGGACGAAATCTATGAGTGGGTTGAACTATATGAAAGTCAGAATCGCCCCTCTCGTCTAAATCCCTTCCCTTTAGATAGAATCCCCAAACTGAGTCCTTGCCCACTACATGTAGATACAAAGGTTTGGGAAGAGCTTGAGAACGAGTGCTTCTATCACACATCTAGAGGGAGTTTTGGACTGGGTTCCCCCTCCTCAGTACCCAATGACCAGATCTGGCTGGCTGAAGGTGCTTCTGTTCCTTTCGTTCTCCGCGAAGTCACGCCTGTGTCGAAGACTGACCAGGAGGATTCCCAACCTCCACTATTTCGCTATATTGGAGACATTGAGCTGTCTGATCTCGATATCTATTCCAGTCACTTCACCTTTGAGCAGCACCGATCGAGATACAAGGAAATCAGCATCATATGATAGATAGAATACCCACACGTTCGTTGTAGGAGGAAATAAGAACATTGCGGATGAGATCCGTTCCGCAAACACTCCCCCGCCACACCTAAGCAAAACAAAGAGCTATGTAATGCAAAACCACAATCTCCCCTTGCTGGGGAGGAGATCAGCAAAAGGAATTGCGTCGAGGGGGAATCGAACCCCCGGCTCCCCGACGCTGCTGAATGGCAACGGAGAATTTTACCACTAAACCATCGACGCGGCTTGAAATTCTTTGATTGGAGGTTATACTTATAGCATCGCTCACTAATATCGTCTCTCAATTTTGAGGAGAGCAGTCTTTCGTCACTCGATCATGTCGACACGCGACTGTGAAAATACTAAGAGGGTGTCCCGTCTTCAGCAGATTTGTATCCAAGCGAGTTGCTTCAGCCTGAAGTCAGATCACACATACTCATATCGCAAGTGCAACACATGCGATGAAAGAAATCCTTCTCATTGTTGAAAGTCGTAAAGGCATAATGCATGGGTCCTCCCGTGAAACCAGAAAAGCTGACCGCAATGCCATATCTCAAGATTGCAACTCCAGGTCCTGAAACGTCCAAATCAGCCCCCGTTCTACACAGTCAAAGACAGCAGGAGGGCGGTATCGTCTCTGCAGTGTCCACCTAAAACTCGGTCTAGGGAAAGTGTGTTTGCATTGGCGCCTGCCGTAGCTGTTCCTCCACGCGCCGTCGTCTGCCTTTCCTTCCAAAGCGCAGCATAGCCTCCCGCTTCCTCCAGTGTTTCCTCCTCTATTTGGGCACAGCGAATTTCGTGGTCCACTCTTTGGCCGTCGCGATGGCGGCCTGCTCGTCCTCCTTCCAGCTCTTCGCGACGTCGGCGGCGAGGGGGTCGTCGGGGTTGGGGGCGCCGAGGAGGGCCTGGATTGAGAGGAGAATAGTGCGGATCTGAAGGGCAGGGGACCAGTTGTCTAAACGGTAGTTCCTTTGTCAGCCATCCTGCGTCAAAACTCCATTGTTCATGTACTGCTACTCACTCTTCAGAACATCGAGGCAGATGCGGCCCAGCTTGTCGACATTCGGGTGGAAGATCTTGGTGAGGAAGCGAATCTTGGGGGGAGTCATGGGGTAGTCGTCGGGAAGGAAGAGCTCAAGCTTGAAGACACCGCCTGTGACACCTATTAGCCCTTTCCTTTCCAGTCAACTTTCCGTGAATGTATTGCGCACCTTCATACGGAGATTGTGTAGGTCCGTGAATTTCGACATCGAAGTAGCGGAGGTTGTCCTCGTGAGGGACGGCACTGATTCCGGGTACCCTTTGAAGCGGTCTTTGTTAGCAAAACATCGAGATATCACTAGCTAGGCAGGAGACTTACGGCTCAGCCATGAGACGCTCCGTCTCCTTGACAATACGCTTGGGCAAAGCCATGCTGGGCGACAAACGCTCTGGAGATTGTTCGAGGGTGAGGGAGGAAAGAAATGGTGACTGAGCTTCCTTGAGAAACCGAAGTTCAAGGCCAAGAAGCTGATGGCGGGGTTAAGCGAGTGATGAATGAGATGGAGCTTCCTTGATTTCAACTCGCCGGGGAAGGAAGAAAGGTCGCAAACGAAATCGCAATCGGATGCTCGGGATATCGGTTTGGAGCGGCGGCGACGAAGGTGACGAGTAGGCGGAACTGGTGGAGTGTTTCGAAAGGCAACCTTTGGGTATGGTGGGCATGTGCTTGGGAAAGCCTTGCTTGGGATTGCCCCGCGGGAGGGACCAGAAGCATGACACACTCCAGGCCTGGCTCGACGCTGTCCCGATAACAGTGACAGGGTGGAGACTGGAGGTGGTATTGGCGAGCTATCATTGGCCTAGAGGTCCTGGTGGAGAGCAAGTATACAACCGCAGGCTTGCTGCGGGAAGGTACATCATTGCGATTGTGGGTCCCCGACTGTCATCCCGTCCATCCACAAGCGTCCGTCCAGGATGCTCAGCGATGGATGCACCTGATCCCGTCGCGTGCATCGGCCTCTGAGCCTCAACTAAAGACCCTCAATATCAAGTTGCGATACTTCATCCAATCAGGACATCTCATCAGTCAAAGAGCACTTATCAGGGCAGTCTAGACTGTGGAAGGACTCTCCCATTGTCGCGTGCCATCGGATCATGGCAAAGACATAGCGCCTACAGATGCCTTTCTGAGGCATCTCTCTCATCTGAGCCAAAACCGCCATCATGCCGCACTTCGACCAGCTTGATGCGCCGAAGAAGGGCAAGCCGATCAAGTCAGCCTTCGACAGCGAGAGCTTTGATGCGGACGGCACAATTCACGTCGCTGGTCTTGTAGGATCGGCGACGATAGCTCCTTCTCAGAGGGATGTTGCCTTAGCATCGTGAGTGAACTTATCGTGAGGCTTCCGAGCCACTGAGCCCCAGCTGACACATCCATCAGACCCGAAGGTTTATCCATCATTGATTTGGACTCACCTTACAATCCTCCTCGCCGACTCAGCAGTCATGGCTCCCCTTGGCTTGTTACTGATGTCCAATGGTCGCCCTTTGCAGTTCGCGACTACTGGGTCGTGTCCACTGCCAACCATCGCGCGCTTGTATGGAACCTCAACTTGAGAGATGACTCGACATCGGGGGCCATTGAGCATTCACTCCAAGGCCATAGCAGAGCCATCACCGACATCAACTGGTCCGCCCATCACCCCGACCAGCTCGCTTCGTGCGCCGTCGACGGTTACGTCCACTGTTGGGATCTCAGACGCCCGAGACAACCTGTCCTTACTTTCTGCGATTGGTTTGCCGGCGCCACGCAAGTCAAGTACAACCGTCAGGACCCGCACATTCTAGCATCATCTCACGACAGGTGGTTGCACATTTGGGACGAGAGACGACCAAGTGAGCCCCTGAAATCAATCGGCGCTCACACCTCAAAGATCTACGGGATTGATTGGAATCGGACAACGTCAACCAAGATTGTTACTTGCTCTTTGGATAAGCACATCAAGTTTTGGGACTATGCGAGCGACCAAGATGTCCCGGATCGCGTTATACGTACCGAGTTCCCGGTGTGGCGCGCTCGTCATACCCCTTTTGGCCAGGGGCTCCTTGCGATGCCTCAGAACGAACCAGGCGACCTGTACCTGTACGACTGGCGAACACCTCCCAAGGACCCTGAGGAAGGGCCGACTGAGCCAGTAGCGGTTTTCCCTGGCCACGGCAACCACAAGGCCAAGGAGTTCTTGTGGAGAAGTAGAGGGAGCATCACCGAAGATGCGCTAGATAACAGAGACTTCCAGCTCGTCTCTTGGGGAGAGGATAATGAGCTGCGCCTGCAGCAAGTCGATCCGTCTATCCTCGAGTCTGTGGGATATGTCAAGGGGATGGCGGCCAACAAGAATGTTGTCCTCACACGCAAAGGCGCTGCCTACAAAACTTTCCGAACGGTTGAGGACACAGTCAGCCGAGACAGGAGGAGTGCCACAATGAGCGATCCTCGTAATAGCGCGCAATACCGTCAGAGTGCTCTGACTATGGGTATGCGGTCTGGGCCGACAACCTACTCCAAACTTGGTGCGGCTTGGAAGGGCTCATCGATGAAAGCCAAAAGCACTTCCAGAGAGATGGATCGTAGCCAGGCACATATCGGCTGGATGAAGGGAATCATGATGAACAAGCGCAAGACATCTACAGACAGCCCTAGAAGGGCAGATTCAAAGGACTCCAGCATGTTCAGCCCAGGTTACATGGACGATGACAAGTGGGGAGAGCCAGAGACTATCCAGGAAGAGTTTCTCCGCATCAGCATGCAGCTTCCCAAGGTCAAATGGGAGCACATCGACATGGATAACTTGACGCTCAATGCATCCCTCAACGGACCGTGGGGCGCCAACAGCGACCCCATCTTCATAAAAGTTACAGTCGACATACCATCTAACTACCCTAAAGCCAAAGCACCAAGATTCTACATTGAGAAGACCGGCTTCATGTCAGACAAGACGCATCGGAAGATTGAGCACGAAATTCATGAGCTCTGCCAACAGTTTCTGGAGCGAAAGCAGAATTGCCTGGATGTTGCTTTCTCTTATCTGTTAGGCGAGATCGACCTGGCGGCGAGCACGAACTTCTTCAAGAATGTGAAGGATCTTGACGATCCTTTAGACGGACTTGGCTCCGAAAGCTCTAGCGAAGACGAGAACGATATTCCGGCCGGCGGTTCGGCATCCATGTCTCAAGAATTGCCTCCGAACGCAGAGGCCGAAAGCACCTTGGCACCAAACAACAGGCCTACAATTCCACCCTTGCCACGGTTCTGCGGTGCCCGGTTTTCCAATGACGGAAGGCTGGTGTGCTTCTTCCCAACTAAGGAAGAAAAGGCAAGGGCATTGCTATTCACGCCGGCAGAACCCATGCGGGAGAGGTCAAAAGGGGAGCCTGTATTCGCCGGTTTCGGTCGTCTTGCGCATGATTCTCCGCCTGGAAAGCGATATGGTAATGACGAGATGTCCGCTACAGACGAGCAGTCCGACTCTGATGTATCCACCGGTTCATCCTCTTCGAGTGACTCGGAATCAACATCTATCAACAAGATGAGCCTATGGTATCAGCCGCGACATCGTTTCAAGCGAACTTGGAGTGACAATCGCTCTGTTCGATCAAGCGGTGGCGGCACGGGAGTGGGAACCGGAACCGGCACAGGATCGCTTAGGAGGCGACCAGGCGCAAAATCGAAGAACGTCGTCTCCCTCCACGACTTATCGGATATTCTGCCTGCGAAGAAGGAATTCGCAGAAGACTATGCTATATTCGGGGATGGTGCTGAGGTCTGCGAGCACAATGCACAGGTCGCAGAGAAGCATGGCTGCCAAGATCTGGTGGATGTCTGGCGCTACCTCTCACTGATTCTCCGCCGAGATATTCCACTGGAATTGTCAAACATGGACCGTCACCAAAACTCCATTCTGATCATAGCTAGAGACGCTCTTGCGCGATTCCGTCATGAGGGTTCGCCGGTTACCAAGACGATTAATGGCAAAGACACTGCTGACTTCAACGGGAGAGTGAAGTGGGGCAATCATCCGCTAGCGAGGGATTTCATCAGCGATCTCTTTGATTACTTCGAGAAGACTGCAGATATTCAGATGCTAGCTATGTTGTCCTGCATCTTTAGTGAAGCATTCACCGAAGACAGTGTTGCTTACGCCGAATCACACCTCACACAGCCGGATACACCGCTGCCGATGAAGACTCCGGCATTTTCACTCGATTATTTCCCCACGGATGCATCTCTTTGGACTTACAACACCAGGAGTCAGACAAATTCAGCCATCACCACGCCCAGAACATTGCACACACCAATCCGATACTCTGGGTCACAAGGTTCCGCTGAAGAAATGCTTTGGACTGGGGACCCAGGCTCGAACTCTTACTCGTGCGGCGAGACACCGCCACCAAGGGGTAAAGAATATCTTGGAGAGGGGGATCAAACGCCAAGTCTCTCCACGTCGCCCAGCGGGAGGACGCTGTCGAGAGCCAACTCAGGCCTGACGTCGAGCTTCGCTATCAACTTCCCTCGACCCTTCAGCGGTGTTGCGACGGGGACAACGACCGCAGCATCATCGCCGCCTAACCATGGTCGTAAGAGACCGAGTCCAGCGGAGACTATTTTGAGTACCCTCGCCCCCAGTGCACCCGGTGCTGTCACTTGGGGAGGCTCCACCATCATGGGCGACTCGGGCACGGCTCGCACCTCTCTCTCGGACGACGAGGTATACCGCGACGATCTGTTCTCCATGGTACCTATCGGAGTGTCTGTCCATATGGAGGATCAGACCATCTTCGATGACGACGGATGGATGACCACGCCGCTTCTAGAGGCGAACCGCGCTGACATGTACGCCACGTATCGCTATGTCTACGCTGAGATTCTACAAATGTGGAACCAGCCTCTGGCCCGCCTGGAGATTATGAAGTTCAACGTGCTTCAGCAAGGCCAGGGGGGTAATGGCTCGATTGACGATTTCCACGACACCTACAGTATTGCCGATACTTCGACAACAATCCAGCAGCATCACCACGACCAACAGCACCAGAGCCATCAGGCTCAGCATCACCAACAGCAACCCCATAACACCTCCCCGATTCTCCTCGGGAAGAAGGAGCAGCTCCAAGCCCTCGTCGCCTCCGGCCGCGGTCTTGATGTTACCGGCGTATGCCGCGTCCACGAAACCCAGCTCGAGCCTCTGAAATACACTTCCGCCTCCGCGACTCGCTCGGGCGGTGCTGTCGGAGCGTGTGATCGCTGCCGCCGTCCGCAGTACCAGCTTCTCTGCGTATACTGCCGCGAGCCTGTCGACGCACTGTACCCGCCGTGTTTAGGCTGCGGCTGCGCCTTCCACGAGGCGTGTCTCGCGGAGTGGCATGCCGCCGGCGAGGTTACCTGTCCTGCTGGCGACGAGTGTAACTGCGTAGAGGAGGCATCGAGTGGGCAGGTCGAGTCGTGGGCTGCCATGATGGGCGCGCTGAGAAAGGGTCAACAGCCCGCCTCGGGTGTTTCTTGTGCTCCTTCGGGAGGCGTCATGGGTCGCGGGTTCGTGCTGCCGCCGCCTGCTATCGAGGAGCCTGATGACGAGGAGGTTGAGAGGGGCGACTGGGAGAGCGTGGCGAGCTCTGCCGGGATCCCTAGCCGGATGCAAGGAGGAGGAGCGGGCAGCGGTGCGGTGATGAGTGCCGCGCGGATCAGT